TTAGTCTGACACATCTCCTAGGACCTGTTTGCCTTGGGGGACCCTACCAGGGGCATATAGCCCCTGACAACATAGCTCCTAGGATCACTCGGGTACTCAAACCCCTCCACCACAATAAGGTGGCGGTTCAAGGAGGGGGCAGAATAATTACATTGCAGGAAGTAGCAGGCACCAACACAAGACATTGTACATGAATAGAGAGTTATCTCTACAAGTATATTGATTAGCAATACTTTCAGCGATTTGTTGTTATGCTAATGAGGTCGCGTATATGAATAAATAGCGCCAATAATATGTCAATGTATTCACACAATCGCACAAACGTCTTCGAGCTAACATTGGTCAAGGGCTAGGTTTATTTCCTGGAAATGAACACTTATAAAAAACGGTCTACAACAGTACTTATGAATTATATAATGGTTACACATTCATGCTACTTCAGCTCTTAAACAAACAATAAACTTACGGCCACTGATTTCGGAGGTGTAGGCAAGTTGTAAGACACTTGGAGCAGCTTCGACGTGCATAGCTAACACATTTTTCTCCTGAACTTCTTCTGCCCTTAATGCATAGCAGTGACTAAGCCTTCACAATAAAGCACAGATAAACTAATGCTGTCTGTATACAAGGTGATTTTTAGCTGATTACCTCCCTTTTTTAGAATGAATTTCAACAAATGAATTATGAAATATGATAATGGAATATGAACTGCATTATTATGAACATTTAACATTAATCTAAAACCTTTTAACCAAAGAGCAGAACAACCGCAATAATGATTTAGGCCCTAAATGTGGATCAGATGAAGATCAAACAGTCCAGTAAGTCTGAATAGTTGCATGGTGTTTCTGCAGTAATGTTATGAATGGACTTAGGCATCACTCTTCACTTCTTTGCTCCTCAAACACAAAATATAAATGTTTTTCATTTTCTGTAACGATAAACTGGTTATATCAGATAAACTTTTCGACTAACTGTTGTTATCCAGACTTTATCCTAATCCTAACTTAAACCTGCTTCTAACCTGAACCCTAAACTCAAGTCTTAACTCTCACCAGACATACAAGCATGGTACAGTGTTAATTATCCACCAATATCTGACTGTCACAAAGTTTATGTCAGTTCAGAAATTTGACACAGGGTGGCACTGTTACCCTTTAGAATACTGCAAACTGTTTTTAATCCTGTGAACTGGTAGGACTGTACATATGGTTGTTTTTGTTTCAGTGATGTTTGACTTTATTGTACAGTATACATGTTTGTGAATTATAATTGTGTTAGTTTACATTATGCTCATTTTCTATCCATCATCCTTTGTCCTTGCTTTCTGAAAGTTGTTTCCTCATCATGCAACATGCTGTCAATTTGTGGATGTGTCACACTTGAAAAACAGCGTAGTGGTTATATCACCTCAATGCCATTTCTCTTACTTGGGCTCTGTATTCCATCCTAAACATGAACAGAATATATTGTAGACATTGTTTAACTGAAATTTTGATTGGCTTTTCAGAAGTACAGTTTTTGTATAGAACTATACAAGAACTAAGAGGCTATTAACAGTTAACTAAAAATTCTGATCAAATCCCTATAATATACTGTATTTTATCAGGATTTTCCATACCATATCATTTTGCAGGGCATTTAAGCTGAATGGATGTAAAAAGGCAACCTATCAGAATGAATGTCAAAACAACAGTGAGTTATATGTGCTTTAAATAACAGAGAGATGTCACTTTATCTCAAATGAACCAAAAGCTGGCAACAGAAATGACTTGTCAATCAACAATCAGTTTTTGGATGAACGTTTGTGTGATTGGCAGCATCACCAATCTAATCCAACAGCTGACTGGATGTTTCTCTGTCATGCCAACTCAGGACGGTAGTTACAGCCAACGATAAGGTTAGCCTCCACAAAGAACACCTAAAGGAGGACATAATTTTGTTGGGGAGTAAGTCTTGTGGTACAATGCATTGGTAACAACAGAGATAGCAGAATGTAGCATATTTTACAGGTAAAGAAACTGTCAGTGTAGCTAATACTTACTTAATTAGCTAAGTTAAGTTAGCCAAGGAATCTAGTTAGTTAACATTACATAAACGATATAAGTTGGAATTTCCTTCAAATTATTTATGAGCATGTAGCATCATCACAGACAACAACCTGTCAGTTGCTAATTTTGCCACTGAACATAAATAATCAGATTTGAATTTGTCCAATATTGATGTTATTCTTAGTTCAAAACCCGCGAATGTGTAACATTTACACTAGGGCTTTAAATGGATCTCACCACATCTTTCCTAAAAGCAATTTTTTCTTTCTTTCACAAAATGAACTATTCCAGAGTAATTACAGTATATATTCTCTTATCTCAGCTGTGCTTTTGTGCTCCAAAACATTTTATACAGGTCCCTGCTAGATGACCAGAATCAACAGGATCAACACTAGCAGTGCTCACAGGGTCCTGACTGCTGAAGTTGAGCACAACCATATAAGTAGGTATCAGAGTGCTGCTGGATAATTGTCTTGTTCCTCTGTGTCTCCAGCAATTCCTCTGGGATTAATCGTAGTTCCTGGTGACAGCGACTTAGAAACCTGCAGAGAGCACATCCAGCGTTTGCAGGAGGTAAGAAGGAGAGATGGAGAGAACAGGAGGGATGGAGGGATATAGAGAAGAAAAGGTTGTGGTCATGGTTGAAAGGAAAGAGAATGGAAGTGACACAAAGTTGAAGAAGAGAGGAAGCAGAAAATCATTTAAAATTGGAAATGGAGCTAATTAAGTAGTGTGGTTGTACCTAAATCTCTTAATGTGTGGACTACAACTCTTCCTCTCTAGGACTTCTGCTCTGCCCATCCCTCCTTTACATACTTGGGACTGCAGGTTGGTAGTTGGATGTTGGAGTTTGCAGTGTGGTTTCTGTTGGACCCAGAGGCATATGGGAAACTAATAATGTCAAATTTCTTTGATTAACAGTCAGACAACTCCTTTGTGTCTATCACAGGGCTGACATGTAGGCAAACAACCACACACACCCAAACAAGATATACCAATTAATCCTCACAAAGTAAAATGTATTTCCAGAGAGTTGACACTTTCTGTAAAATCATCAAGCTCCTGAGTGAAGCCTCCTGTCTGAATCCAGTGGTGGATTTTGGAAGAAAGGTTCCAGCTGACAGCAGTGCTGCTGATAGCCAGTGTCAGTGACTGACAGCTGAGAAAGTCTCTTCTTGGGGGCTTTAAGTGCTGTACCAATTTGAATTCCTTCAGAGTACACACACCCGCACACACCGTACTAAACAAACACACACCCGCACATATAAACAGAAGAGATTTTGTTCTATAGGGGTTACAAAATTTAGTAATGCGTTGCACCACACAGTGTGCACACAGATACACGAATAAAACCATGTTTTAAGGCTCATGGAAAAAAAAGACATCCTAACTTTATAGCCATAATTAAAACAGTACCAGTGCTACCTTGAAATGTAAAGTAAGAACAGGAAATAACTGGTTTTGTTAAATGTTTTGGAATATATAATGCTTTTTAAATTATAAGTTACTAGCTGAGACCTGCTAATGCAATGATGTTAATAAAATAGGAGTCTGACAGTCAGATATGCTGGACACCAGCCAACAGGCTTCTCAAACTTCTTTACCAAACCAAAATGATTCTTTAACTGTTTTCTTTTTCATAACTTTGACCTATTGAAAATTAAAAATGGAATGGCTGAGTTTGAGTAAAGATCCAAACATTTATTGTAGGATATAAAGAGTTTCTCTCTAGGTGTGGGTTTCTTTATAAATGTCAATCACACCATAGATGAACACAAGGTTATTGCCAGACTTTCCCAGACACCAAAAAAGAAAGTGTTTAAAATATTAAAATTATTTGCCGCTATGTTTTATTTAGTGAGTTGATTGTATATTCTGCTGGTTTTACAGCTTCAGAATCATCTGCATCTTCCTTATAGCCAGTGACAGTTTAGGTTGTTCTTTCTGGGGATGTTCTTAGGACATTTTAGATAAAGTTTAGTTTAAATCAGTGGTTTATTTGTAGAGGATTGTCACTGAAGTAACTACTCCCCTATATAAAACCAGCAGAATGTACAATGAACTCAATAAATAAAACATAAAAACTCCAAACACACCTTTTTCAGTGTCTGGCGATAACCTTTGTGTTCATCTCTATGATGTGAAAAAAATACCCATCAGTTTTTACCATCAACAGTTTTTTTTCTGTAACATATAAACTTTTTTTCTAAGTTGCTTGAATGAAAAGAATTTGAACTCACTGTCCTCAGTGATAATGTAACTTATTTAACTCCAGAATACTGTATGTTTTAATACTTGCCACTGAAGTAGCATCAAGAGAATAGTCTTCCTCATCTGCGCTGGTCTTGTGCTCTGCCTCCATTATTGTGAGGAACAACAGGGCTTTAGCCCTTTGTCTTGTGTCATATGCTAAATATCACATGAGCATTACAGCGCTATTCATTATGGTTCTTTCATGTTCAGTCTTTGTTTGAAGGGCCAAAAGGCCATTACTTTAACAGACAAATGAAACCACCAGTGTTATAGATCATGTGTCTGAACAGGGCTATATTCAGCCAAACTCAGTCTAGAGAGTCGCTCAGAGAAAAAAACAGCTCCAGTCTGTCTTTTATACTTTATACATTACTCCAGACAGTAATTAGTGTCAGTAAAGTAGCCACTGCTGGAGTAGTACAGTCCCTCCACCCTTAAAGCTAGGGCATAGGCCTAACTGAAAAATTCTAAGATCTGTGATCAAGCAGCTGTGGAGTGTGCTTAAAGGTGAATTAATTAAGATTTTACATGTTGATAAATCACAGGACAGACAGGACGTGGGCACCTTTAACTACCCCCTCTGTGACATTATGATGCCTACAGTGTTTCTGTGGTTATTTCAGCTTCTCTACTCTCTGTTTTCAAGTATCGGTCCATACATTAGCCCTGCCTGCCACCTAACATTAACATAGTCGTGATTTTGCCTTTATTTTGAATTGATAGGACTTTAATTTGGGAGTAATTGGAGCTTTGTGTAACGATAGTGCTTTGTTGGCTTCTTCAGGACTGTCTCCTCACTCTCCACCTTGTCATTTGACAATGTGATGCTGCAATGCTGCTTAGAGCTGGTGCTTGTTAGTCCAGTAACGGTAGCTTTGGACTGGTGACTACATTCATCATTGCAAGGAAACAGGACATCAGTTTATTTTGAGTTTCACCCTGTAGCAGCTGAAAAATTATTTAATGCACCTTTAAAAAAAAACTTGAAATGGGAACAGAATGAGGACAAACTCTGCATTAGCGACCTAGCGTGGTCATGATTTTACCCATGTATTGAATCAATATGATTTAATTTGAGAGTAGCCTCAATGGAAGCTTTGTGTCACATGACCTGTAACCAGGGCCAAATTTACTTGTTAGGCAGCTAATGCTAGCAGCAGACTGATGGCTGCATTTCATACAGTTTGTCACAACCAGGCAGCCATAGTTTGCATCATCAATGGAAGTCAGTCTCTCTGGAGCCTAGGGGTTGAAAGGAAATTAGTTAGAGCACCTTTAAGCCAGGCTGTGATGTTTTCCAGACTAGATCACACCACCACACATTGGTATTTTCCTCACCTTGAAATGTGTTTTGCTTGCCAATTTTGATATTTTAATGAGGCACCACTGAGAATAGACATCTGAGAACTATATCTGCTTTCAACAAGTCACTCAAGTGATAACTTGGTGAGTCTGCCAACTTTTACACGTTGTGATGTACAAGGTCAGTGATGTAACCGGTGGTCAATGGTTGGCTTATTTCAGGCTGCCTTATCCATGCAGTCCAATTGGAGGAGATCAGGTCCCAGTTTGAATCCACATAGCCTGTATGGTTTGTGGATCACCCCTTTTCATCCACAGCCTTTTCTGCAGCGTGTGTGATGGTCATGGTCAGTTGCTCCCTTTGTGTTCTATGGTGCAGAGAACCTTAAAGCTCTGCAGTGCACGGAGACTAAAACACGTACAGTTTGGTCTTGTTTCAAGAGATTAGTTTCCCTTATTTGTCTCAGTGTTGCAGCTTGGTGCATGTACTGTTGTCTGTGAATGTCTGCATGGGTTTGTACATGTGCGTGTAGATTAATTGTGTTTCAGTGGGTATAATGCACTTATATTCTGTTTTGTATGCAGCCAAGCTTATTAGTGAGTTTGTTTTGTGAGCTCTTGTAGAAGGTGTATTGTCTGATAATGCAGAGGTGATTTACTCTGTTCAGAGGATGTTGGGTCTGAATAGATAAAACAAGTGACAAAAAGTTTTGTTTTTTTCTTGTTCTTTTATTTATACACAGGGTTAATTAGGTATTCGAGGTCCTGATATCCTCAAAAAGCCTTGAGAGCAAAAACAATAAATGGAAAAACAGTTCATGGTACAGCTCTAATATTTGGAGTCTTTTTATTGTATTCTAAAATCTTTTTATAGGTTTATTCTGTTACACAGTCAGCAGAGGACAGGGGCAGACAGGAAACCTAATTATAAATGTTATAAACAAGCCTCAAAGAGCTTGCCTTTGAAATGGAATCTTGACCATAAAATAAAGTCATTGTTCACTTTTGTTGTATCAACACTTGCTCTTTTTGAGTAATAATTTATCATAACAATACACAGAATGCCAATTTCATTGGCACAAAAGTCTGTGTTATTTCATAATTAACACTAGGTAATTACAGTTGCTACAATTACAGGACCTTGGAAGTGTCTCCACCTGTTATTTTGGCTGAAGGTGAATATAAGTTGGAGGTGGCTGTGATTAATAAATACACTCTCAGTGAGTCATATCAGCCATCTCATAGCTCTGAAGCTGCTCAGCCAGAGTGAAGCATAACAGCAACAGCTGAATGAATGGAATGACGCTCCTTTAGGAAAATCAGGCTGTTGCCTGAATGGTACAGAGCAACATGATGTGAACACACATCATCATAAACTTGCAGCCAGAGGAAGATGGTGTGGGTTTTAATACAGTTGTACAGTGATGATAGCATTAAATAAGATGTTCATGTAGCCATTTGCTAAAAAAGATTGATGAACCACTGTAATAGTGTGTCATCACAGGTCATTGAGAACAAGTTCAACCATGGTAAATGCCCCAATCTCAATGTCTGCCTCCATCATATATTGTATATGAAAAAATATTGTCCTTTATAACACAAAATTTATCATTTTCAAGTGTGGATTCATGTAGGCCATCTGGATCAAATTGTCAGAAGGCCCACATAAAGGTCACCAGTACATATCCAGCACCCCTGGGAGGTAATACTAAAAACCCTTACCTTCAGAGATTATACAATAGCAAAGACAATAGAGTTTGAATAAGAGCTCATCAGTGTAGTCAGGTTTGCACAGTTTAAAAGAGATTTCTGTGCTTTTCCTAGAACATGATTAACAGTATTTTACTTTAAAGCATAACTATAAAGTGGTCAGTATAAATCAAAGATGAGTTTTTTTTTTTTTAGATTCTTTGAAGCCCCCTGTTTTTCTTTTTTGCTCCTGGGATGCCATACCGCCACCCTCACATGTGTGCTGGAGGTGATGAGGCTGCTGTGCTGTTATAGCATGTTGGCCTATGCAACCTGAATTGTTTTCAAAAGCAAAAGGCTCTGCTGTTTTTTTCATTTCTATAGTTTATAAAAGCAGACCTGAAACCACACAACTGACTAAACTCACCTCAATTAACCTATATAAATGCATATAATTTACTGCGTTTTCTCTCTCAGTTGTAGAAGACTGGATCACAGTAATACCTGCCATATAATACAATGCACAATATTACACATACTATAATGGCTTTGTCCATTGTTTTTTGTTTCCATCATGGTTAAGG